GGTTAAGGTCATCGGAAATGGGTCCGCTATACTGCATAATTACCCAAAATATTGTTTAGCATCTTTTCATCACATAATATAAATATATAGCATAAATATTGTGATCTACAATAGACAAATCTATACGATAAATATAATACTGTTATATATTAAAATATTAAAATGAATATATTAAAAAAGCAAGTTGAAATATATTGCTCACAATAATATATTAATATTTTATATATACAGAATGTCCAAAAAGTTCCGAGACAGCTAAATAACTCCTCAGGAAAGCGTTATTGAGAAAAACGTTAAATACAAAAGTTTTAGGATTGAAAACAGGAATTCGATGGTGATATTGATCTTGACTCAAAGGTCAAGTTCAGAAGTCATTTCAAAGTAAACTTGAAAATCTTAAATGGAAACCCCCATTTTTTACCTCGGAAATGGAAAGAACGGGAAATTATACGTCCAGATATGTATTTAGTCATTGGGTCAAAGTGATCCCTGAGAGTCATTTGAAGGTCAAACCTTCAACAGTTGGATAACTTTTCAGAAAAGTGTTTCAGTGATTAAAGAGAGATATTTGATGGTGACTTTGACCAAAGCTCAAGTTTAGAGGTCATTCAAGACAAGTATATTGTCCAGACAGTTAAGTCAAGACTGTAAGATTGTCCAGCCAATTAAGGTAAAACAAAGCATTGTCCAGCCAGTCAAGGCAAGACTGTAATGGCTGTTTAGCAAATTAAGACAAGACAAAGCATTATCAAAGCATTAGACTAAACTGGTTATTGAAAGTATCATCAATGCAAATGCTCAAACTGTTGATCGTTGGCTTCTTGACAGTAAGCTAATCGATGATAAAAAGTTGCCATTGCATTTTCAAAATATTCAACAGGTTAAGCAAGCTGCTTTCAGGTTAGGCAACATTCTAACGGAGTCAGGACTTGAATAAGAGATCGGTGGTATACCGCTTAGGAAGTTATCCATAGAGATTCACGAAAGTTTGGAGTGCGTGTTGACAATCTTCAATACCTAGTAGTTTATCCTTTAAGGAAAAAAACCTATTGAATACTTAGTATTGGTTAATACTAAATTGGCTAATACTTTTTGGGCAATATTTAATATTGATGAATACTAAGTATTCATAAATACTGAAAAATAGTATTAAGTGCGCAATACTTAGTATTAGTTAATACTATTGGCCAATACTTTGCGACGCTACTCGCGAAGGTAATTTCGCGAGCGACGGCAGACCGTCGCCTGTCAACCGCGTCAGCAAACTACCGTCGGCTCCGGTTCACACCACCAAGCCGAAAAAGATTCGTTGGGCGCCAGGTGCGGAAAGGCCGCACCACCTCGCGATAACCGTGATAGGAACTTACACGCAATTCGCGTGTCTCGGGACCATCGGGACCGGCAGCTCCAAGAGTTTTAAGTCGGAGACGGAATGGGTTAGGAGAAGGCGAAATCAACTCGACTTGATATCGATAATGAGAAGTACGTTTATTGGGGGACTCGCACGTCCCGATATTCAATACGCGATATAACATGGTAACGGCAACGCTCCTCGGGAGACGGTACTGTTCGCGAGAATGCCACGCGAAGCCCGGGGACGATTTCCTCGGGCGAGCCTTTTATTAACCGCGCGACCACTCCGCGGACGAGACACGATAAGGCACGAGCCGATACGCGGCACAAATAAATTTCTGAACAGATGGTCGATCTTACATTACTCGGCGGCGACCCTGAGTCGGCGGCGATGTCGGCGTCGACGACGGCGGTGACGGCAGCGGCGGCGATCCTCTCTCTCTCTTTCCGCTCTCTCTCCCGCTCCGCTCTCCCTCCGTCTTCGCGCTCCTCTCTCTCTCTCTCTCTCTCTCTCTCTCTCTCTCTCTCTCTCTCTCGCCCCGCTCTCTCTCTGCCACTCCGCTCTCCCTTGCCTCTCTCTCTCTCTCTCTCTCTCTCTCTGGCACTCTCGTTCTCTGTCACGCTCGCTCGGCGCTTGGTATAGGACGCGTGGCGGAAATTTGCTCCGTTCGCGGCGGTAGTCGCGGTAAGGCTGTCAGTTGTTTCTCTCTTGGAGGATCACGTATCTTCGCGGATCCTCCCTCGTCGCTTCACCCCTCGTCCTGGTGGTGGTTGTCGATAGTCGAGAATCGGCAGATTTCGGTATTCTTGTCTCGAGGCACTTTTCGTCTCGCGACGCTGTTGTCCTCGTGAATCCACCTGTTGCCTCTCTCGGTTCTTCCGTTTTTTTTTTTGCTGGGCTCTCGCGACAGCTGCTTGCTAGAAGTAAACACAGCAGATCTGTCTAAGCGCGATACTGTGTTCTAGTTATGGTAATTTTTCAGCGATAGAATATTCGTTATTGCTGAGCGCGCGATAATTCGCGATAAAAGATTTTAGTCACAAAAGTACGAGAGTACAATTCACCTGAGTAAGGGCTTCGCTAGTTGTCGGCCGCTGCTTCCTCGCCCCTCGATGTCCTCCACTCCTCGTCCTGGTGGCCGGCAAGGGACGCCGAGGGGCACAAAATTCGGGACGCGCTGACCTTCGCATCTGCTCCGCTCGCAAGAATCGCTTCTTCGCTTTGTTCTAAGACTTTCACAAACAAACATTCGACGGAACGCGATATTCGGAAAGGTCTCGAAAACCGTCAGCGACGCGACACGCGAAAAACATTCTCACTAATTCGGTACGGGCGCCTCCACGGCTGCCACGTCACAACTTTTTTGGGGAATACTTAGTATTGATGAGTACTAAAAGTATATACGTGGAATATTGTTAAAATATACTATCCCTCACAGATCATTAATATTGATTTTAAATAATATATAGCTCTTTTATTTGATTTCACACCTGAAAATTTACTCAGTAGAGGAAAGTAACCAAAAGCGACATAGGCCTCCTAAAGCGACATACCTCCATATCTCATATATTAAATGTTGTATTTTGTTGAAACTATTATAAACTAATATAATAATTCGTTTAATCAGTTAAGTCATGAAAAATTCATACTTGGTATATTTCTTGTTCTTTCATAAGCTAAATTAGCAAATGGAGTTTTAGAAATTCCTAAGTTTTATTTCTATGATTTTTATTGATGAATTACGTAGAATAAACAATAATAATTATCTTTTTGTTCAATATTAAGTTCTTCTACATGCATTTGACTTTTGTAAACATATTTTTTTAATATTTTTATTTTCGTCATTTTTTACTGTATACCTTGAAAAATTTTATGAGAATGTGTCTTAAAGTGACATATCTATAGTATAGCGATAGGTGCAATACTATGTGACTAACATGATTCTAACCTTCCATTATAACATGCATTTGTTTATTTTAAAACTTAATATTTTTTAGTTTAAAAATATAATATATGTAAAATATGTGAGAAATGAAAAAGGTGGAAATGCCAAAAATATATTTTTATTTAATTATATTCCCCTTTTGTAACATAATATTTTGAATAAATGAATATTTTTCAACCATTTAAACGCATTAATGGACTATTTGTTATCAAATATTACCATGCAAATATTACCAAGCAACATGTTATATAATTTCCAATAGGTATGTCGCTTTTGACACCTATTTTTTTTTTAATTACATTTTCGTGCGTTTTACAAAAACATTTTTTATGTTAAATCTAGAAACAATTTCATTATAAATATGATATTATCTATCTATAGAGGGTACTTCTAACTACATGTATATATATTTATATTTATGTTTTGTGCTTTACATTAAGACATAACCTCCAAAAACGAAGTGGTATGTCGCTTTTGGTACCTTTACTCTACTAATCAGACGCGAACTCGAGATCTCAAATACTTCCAGGTTCCTAGTTTATCATCATGCTGTGCTATTTCTTCAACTGATATTAAGCATTTCTTATTATACGCATATGCAGCCGAAACAGTAATTATAATTTTCTTATAACATTATTTAATATAACCACAAAAATAAACTATTTAGTCCAAATATTTCATATAATAAAAAAGAGGTCAGAAATATATGCATAAAATATTTATATAACATATGTTTACCTAAGTGTTGACATTACAAAACATTACAATTAAAAAAAAAATATTTAAAAAAACATTATTAGAACGTTAAAAATAATGGAATAAATTCTCCTTTTTTAATTAAAAGAACGTTTTTTAATGTTTTTAACGTTTAAAAAAATGTTTTGTTTTCTAATATTTAATAAACGTTATTTTAAAATTTAAAAAATATTTTTATATGTTAAATGTTAACACTTAGAAAAATATTTTTTTAATATTAAAATAAATATTTATTAAATATTGAAAAAGCAAAACATTCTTCCAAATGTTAAAAAAATGTTTTGTTTTAATGAAAAAAGAGAACTTACCCCATTATTTTTAACTTTTCCATTGAAACCATAATTTTCTCGCGAGAAATGTTTTATAAATATTGTATGATATAATGAATATTTAAGTATTGACCAATACTAACTCGCAATACTCAGTTTTCATCAATACTTAACTACATCAATATTTCAATATTGATCAATACTAATTCTCAATACTCAGTATTCCTTGATACTTAATTCACTCAATATTTCAGTTTTGACCAAAACTAACTCTCAATACTCACCTTTACAGAAATATCATACTAAGAAATATTAAAAAATTATTAGTCACTAAGTATTACCAGTAATTCAGTAATTTTTTGGCCAGTACTTAATTTCTGGTGAGTATTGATAATAAAATCACTTATTAAATATTAATAGTAATCAAATACTGAGAATTATTGCGAAAGTGGAAAATAAGAAAATCATAATATTTAAAGAAATATATTTATATATTCCTAATTTTCTCATGTCTCATAAACACCACTAGGTATCGAAGGTTGTCAAACATACTCCAAAACTTTCATGAACCCTTCCGCGATAATTTCGATTCCAAACAATATATCACCCATCCATGTCCTGACTCTGTTAACATGTTGCTCCCTTATAGAAATATCATACTAAGAATCATTGATAATTACTTATTTTCAGTATTAAAAATACTGGATAATAAGTAATTATCAATGATTCTTAGTATGATATTTCTATAAGGGCTTAACCTGACGATCGAACGGCACGCGGCGATTCCCGATGACTCCAACGATATTCTTACGATTTATGCTTATATAATATATCCTTATAATGTTCACAGTATATTATATTAGGTGTACAACTTTGCTTCCGCCGTTTTCCTATAGATGGCTTCAGCGGTAGTCAAAGTGGTGGTCGAAATAAATAGATCATAGACGTTATACAATAAACTTGGGCATCTGTCAACATAACCCCATAGAAACATTAGTCGATTTGTGTCTGCATCATAAAGTTATTCTCAATTGAAAATATCAGTTTACGAGCCAAATTCTCGTCATTTGCGGGAGGTTTTAATTTTCTGCTTCAATATGAAGAAATCTGCGGCTGCTGTTCATTGAATGCTCTCAAATACTTATGGTGAGGCCGCTATTAGTAAAAGAACGTGTCGTGAGTGATTTCAACGCTTCAAGAACGGTGATTTTGACGTCGAAGACCGGCATAGCGGTGGAAGAGAGAAGGTTTTCGAAAATGCAGAATTGGAGGCATTACTTGATCAAGATTCGTGTCAAAATCAAGAAGAATTGGCACGATCATTGGGAGTGACTCAACAAGTCATTTTAAAACGCCTCAAAGCCATGGCAATGATTCAGAAGCAAGAAAATTGGGTGCCGTACGAATTGAAGCCGAGAGATGTTGAACGGCGTTTGTTTGCTTGTGAACAACTGCTTGAAAGACAAAGACGGAAGGGATTTCTGCATCGCATTGTGACTGGGGACGAAAAATGGGTTCATGACGATAACCCCAAGCGCAGAAAATCATGGGGAGTTCCCGGCCATGCTTCCACGTCGACGGCCAAACCGAATATTCACGGCTCCAAGGTCATGCTCTGTATTTGGTGGGACCAGCTCGGCGTAGTGTATTATGAGCTGTCGGTTAAAATCGATTGAAACAATCACAGGCGATCGGTATCGAATGCAATTGATGCGTTTGAGCCGAGCATTGAAAGACAAACGGTCGCAATACAACGAGAGACGCGATAAAATGATTTTGCAGTATGACAATGCTCGACCCCATGTTGCGAAAGTGATCAAGACATACTTGGAAACGTTGAAATGGGAAGTCCTACCCTACCCGCCGTATTCTCCAGACGTTGCTCCCTCTGACTATCACTTGTTTCGATCAATGGCACACGGCCTGGCTGACCAGCACTTCCGGGCTTATGAAGAAGTAAAAAATTGGATTGATTCGTGGATCGCCTCAAAAGATGACCAGTTTTTTCGATACGGGATTCGTACGCTGCCCGAAAGATGGGAGAAAGTAGTGGCCAGCGATGGGACAATACTTTGAATCATAAATGTTTAACCATTTTTTTACAATCAAGCCTCGAATTTTAGAAAAAAACGGCGGAAGCAAAGTTATACGCCTAATAACATATCTAGCAAACACCAAATAATAGTTACCAAATAATTTTTACTTGGTGTTTGTTGGATAATTTTCTGATAGATATTGAAACGAAGCAACAACATTTGATATACAATGAATATTGATGTAATATAGTGAACCAGTGATAATTACTTTCAAATTTTTAACAGAATGTTATAATAATTAATCCAAACAAAAAACAATAAAAAATTCAAGGAAATCCAAATTAAACAAATTGAATTACTAAATTTTGAAAAAAACTTAAAAAAAAATACTATTTAAAACAACAATGTTGTTTCATCAAATGGAATGGTTTCCTTGAACGAAATAAAAGTTTTTATTTTCACGATTTTAAAGAATATTTTGTTTGAAAATATAGTATTTTAATGAAACAAAAAAAACCACAAAATTAAACCAGTACGAATATTAAATCTAAAGAAAGTGTTTTTTCCGAAAATCGGTATAAGAAGTATAAGAAATATGCAAGAAGAAAAATTCTAGTATTATTTACTGCCATTAACAAGTACTATTCTAAGTACTATTCTATAAGCACTATTGATGTCAAACATTACTGAATTTGAAATACAAGTAACAAAAATAACTAGTAAATAAATAAAAAATATTATATTATATTTGTAAAATTTTTAAAATATTGCTGCAGTATTGCTAAAGTATTATTGCATATTAATGTCACTGCAATGTTTCTGCAATATTGCACTGCAATATACAATCTTGTAACGTTGTAGCAATGTTGTTGCAAGCTTCTGTGCTGTATGGATATTGCTGAGAGTCGAACCTGAGACCTCTAATTCTTGAGTTCTGCTGCACCACTGTCACTTTGACAGAAAGACGCTTCGTATACATATGGTATATCCATGTACGAAAACATATAACTTATTTAAGAGGAAAGTATAAATCTTTTTAAATTTAAAAATTATGTTTTTAAAAAGTATGTAAAAAGTATGTTTAAAAATATTTACTTGTTTTAAAAGTAAGTGAAATACAAATAAATTATTTTGTAAATTTAAATAAATTGTTTACTGATAATAAAGGAAACTTTAATTTGAAACACAAAAGGATAATATTAGAAAATAATTTATTTAGATTTATAAAATGATTTACTTGTATTTTATTTACTTTTAAAACAAGCGAATATTTATTCAAATACAGTTTTTATATTTAAAAAAACTAATTTTTTTTTTGTAAGGAAATCATTTACTTATTCTTATATATAGATATTTTAAGTCAAAAAAATCATTTTTGTTTCTAGAAATTCATAATTTTACAAATTTAAAAAAATATAACTTTATATTTATTATATTTTTCTAAAATCTAACAAATATATATATACAGGGTGACCCATTTTAACTTAGGCAGCCAAATAACTAAAAAAATAAGCACACTACGAAAAAATGTTT